AATACACGTACTGTCGTCAAATAGGATGTTTATTTCATACATTCGCGCAAAAATGAAATTGGCTTTGCAAAAGCACCATTTCAGTTACAAAGTATTTTGACTTGATTAAGGATTTCATTCACACAATTATGACTTCGCCCAGACACAAAGTCTAAACCGGTAGCTGATAACACAATAGAAAGTTTTCCTTCAACTGTAAGGGGAGACTCCTTAAAACGTTTTCCTTAAACGAAGTTAGATTTTACATGACGACTGGCAAAAAGTTTGTAATGTAATGTTCACACAAATAATTTCCTTCCCAAAACTACACAAAAGCTAAAAAGTCATCGCTATGTTATACTAATTCCTTACATGGACTGCAGCTTCTTAAAATGTATTGTAAGCGAGAGATACATCAGTTAAGCAAAATTCTCCAATTTTTAAATGTAAAGGTACTATACATGCGCCACGCGAGCAAAATGAGCAAAATCTTGGGCGATGATTCTTATGAAAAACCTCAAAACTACAGATTCGAAAAATTTGCGATCATTTTTATAGTTTTCACACGCTCAAACACTGTTGTTCAATTTTTAAACCCAGAATTTTATTGGATGGCGTTGGTGGAATTACTAAGACGCACTGTATGACACTGCACCTGCTTATCAAAGCATGTTAACATCCTTCAACCTTACACACAAGCTGGCCTTGATGCTAATTTAATATTAATGCTTATGGGGTACGCAGTATAATGTCACAAACTAATTACTTAAGTACACAATAACTAATTTAAAGTAAATGATTGCAAAAATCAAACAACGTAAATTAGAAGCGTAAAGCAGTAAGTATACAAATCAGAGACTAAACACACTAATACTAATTCAAGATGTTCTGTTTTTCAAATTGAAGCTTTGCATCGGGAACTTCTCAGCTAACAAAGTAAGGTGCTGAGAGGGTGCCACGACGGCCGAGTGAGCACCGAGCATGACATTCTGCGTTTCAATCGCATTCTGTACAAGCATATTGTACAGTTTGCACGCAATCTGCACACTCTGGTTAAGAAAACACTCTAAAACTTTCTAATATCTAGAGATAAACTAATCCGTTTCCATAGGTTGTTCCAGCTGCTGTTCACCAGGAGCACTCGTCTCTACTTCACTTCCCAAGTGGGAAGGGTCCGCCGAGGCCTGGGTAATACTGTTTGTAGCGTGGAGTGCAGTTTGAGCCTCCAGTACTTGCTGTTCGCCAGCGGTGACAGCGGCAGCAGCCATTTGAGTCTGTATGAGCTGCTGATCAGCGGTAGCTATCAACAGGTGAGGGTGTGACTGCGCGGCAGCCATGGCGGCCAGGATTTCGGCTGGTACGGTAATGCCCAGGGTGTCAGAAGCCTCCACCGTCACGTGGCCAGTCTGCATGGCTTCGCCGATCGCGGCCTGTACATCAGCGCTGGTAACAGTCGTGCCATCGGTCACCTCCATGATGTGCACATGCCCCGGTTGGATGCCTACAGCCTCTCCGACGGGCACCTCAGCACCCGAGGTGGGTATGTCCACTACTTGTGGCATGGTGGTGCTCACCACCGTCTCCACCACCGACTGGGCCACGTCGCTGGCAGAGATACCGGCACTGACTGCAGCTTGGGTGACAGGGTCCACCAACATGGAGGCTCGAACCGTATGGCTGTCTTGCAAGTGCTGTAATTAATGGGAGAACAACGCTTGCTACTTTAATTTATACAATGTATCTCTACGTTAGAAACATGGAACGCGAAAATCTTAGATAAAGAAGTTTCACTCAACAATTTGGGGTTTCAGAATAGCACGAGACTTTCACGTAAGTTCCGTACCATTTTGCGGACTATCATTTATGATGTCTTGGAAAGGAATGTTATACTGACAAAGAAATCGTAAAAAATATTGTGCAATTCTCGTAACCTGGTTACAATGAAAGTCAATCATCCAATGTATACCGCAAAGAAGAACAAAAAATTTTAACGCAATTCCAAGCTAAACGTTGTACTACTCTGAAAATTCATTGACTCAAACAACTGAAGTTGCAGTCATTTCTCTAAGGTGGTTTGGTTCTTGTTCAATAAGAGGCCCTACAAAATTCGGGTTATTGTAGCGGAATTGTAACAACTCGTAAAACTTATCCCCATTTTTTTAGTTTCTCTTCAACTCCTATCAAATTTTCGCAGTCGTGTCATGATAATGAAACACGTGTCGGTTCATATCGACATTTTCCCAACGTGAATAACAGAAACTGTATGACTAAGCAGTAAGGAGAATTTTCGTGAACACGCCAACGAACGTTGAGCACTAGTACACAAACCTGCTGCATAACAGCGTCATCTTCACTGTGAGTAGTTTCTTCCACAGCCACAACACGTGGGGTGTCATCTCCCTCGGCGGCAGCTGCTACCACCGCTTCACTGACAGCTACTAAAGCCTCGGCTAACTGTACCTCAGCCTCAGTCCCCAGGTGACTGATGTTCACTGTGGACATGGTCTGCTCCGACAAAGTCTAATAAGGAAAGTAGAAACACAGGAAAATCTTTAAAAAGTTATTGCATTTACTCTAACGAAGGCGACAGAAAGGCTGCCGAAAATTCAGTATTTAAAATTTTTTTGGTAGGTCAGATGCAATTGCTTTTTACCGATGAGCGTACAATAGTATAATTGTTCAGTCTACATGTAAATAAATGATTGCCGGTAGTCTGTTTCCTCTTTTGCTGGTAAGCACACGAGGCTTTTCCGTTCGTTTGTTCATTTGCTTTTTTCTGTTGACGAGTCTGGAGCAGTCCCTAACTATTTTTTTTTTCTTTTGTTATGGGGAAAGCAAATCCGAGGTCATTCCTCTCACCTACAGGTAACTACAATGTAGTAGTACAAGATAAATAAGGAAATCACTTTGATTTTATTCTTTTGTTTGGTTTAGTTTGTTTGTTTGTTTGTTTGTTTGTTTTTGGTTAGAAACTTAAGCCATACAGTGTACCTGCACTACAGACGTACATGTAGCCCCATGTGATCGTTCATCCAAGATTTCAGTGTCAGACTGCTCGTCCTTTTTGGTGCGGATCCTGACCTGTCCGTCACCCTTGTTATGTACCTTCATGTGATAGCGGAGAGAGGCCTTGCGAGAAAAGTCCTTCTCGCAGATCTCGCACTTGAAGGGCTTCTCGCCAGTGTGGATCCTGAGATGGTTGTTAAAATGGCTCCTGTGGTTGAACTCGCGGCCACACTGCTCGCATTTAAAAGGCCGCTCACCTAAATCAAATATGATGAACACAAAAATTAAACACACTGAACAACCTTTCCAGCAACATTTCGCTACTGAAACAGAGACGCAGCCACTTTGTTAGGCTACATACACTTCTCTTCGTCAATTAAAAGGAAAGGAAGTGGAGCGAAAGAAGAAAAGAAAACCAAGAAAAGTGAAAGAATAGGGGGAAACAAGGGGATACATTAAGAAACTGTTACATACCTGTGTGGGTTCGGATGTGTTCCTTCAGTGTGCTAAAGCGAGTGAACATCTTCTCACACTCGCCACACTTGTACGGCTTGTCCTCGCTGTGCACTGGCAAGTGAACTTTGAGATCGGTAGACCGAGCAAAGCGCCTTCCACACTCATTACACTCAAACGGCTTCTCCCCTGAAACAAACAAGCAAAACAAAGTTTTCTGTAAGAAGGCAAACAATACTACAATAGTGTCCTGTAATTCACATGCGATAAGAGGTAAGTAACATGGGGACAAAGCAATCATGTTTTCCCTTTACTAAAAGATTTCAACAGACAGAAAAGCAATCAACCATACCAGAATGCACAATGGCATGACGCTTGAATGTGATAGTGGATATGAACTCCTTATCACAGAGGTCACATTTGAACGGCTTCACTCCAGTGTGTCGTCCCATGTGAGACTGTAGCTCGAGCTGGGTACGGAATGTCTTGTCGCACTCATCACATTTGAAGGGTTTGTCTCCAGTATGCACTGCCTGCAGAAACAAAAGAAGCCACCTCAGTGTTACTCCTTACCCGACAATAACCATTTCCAATATCTCTCTGCGATGTCACAACTGATTTTTAATTTAGTTCCAAAGGCACTCTTAAAATCTAAAGAATGGAAAGAGGCCAAAGAACTAACAAAAACACCCTTTCGAGGATGGGCGATCCTTTTATAAGAATTGGTTATTCCACTTGCCTGATGAGACTTGAGCCCAGTCTGAATGGCAAAGCCTTTACCACACACATCACAAACGTAGGGCTTTTCTCCAGTGTGGGTCCTTATATGATCCCTCAGTCGAGCTGGTCGAGTGAACTGCTTTGGACACATATCGCACTTGTAAGGCTTGTCACCGCTGTGGGTGAACTTGTGCTTCACGAGGTCAAACGACTGGATGCAGGCAAAGTCACATTGATCACATTTGAAAGGTTTCTCCCCTGAAAGAAAATTTAGCCCCACAGGATCAGAATATATTTGGAGATTGATCCAATCTATATTTGATGGTCAGGATAAATACTGTAAGTTGAATGATTGCATTAATCNTTGTTATTCCACTTACCTGATGAGACTTGAGCCCAGTCTGAATAGCAAAGCCTTTACCACACACATCACAGACGTAGGGCTTTTCTCCAGTGTGGGTCCTTATATGATCCCTCAGTCGAGCTGGTCGAGTGAACTGCTTTGGACACATATCGCACTTGTAAGGCTTGTCACCGCTGTGGGTGAACTTGTGCTTCACGAGGTCAAACGACTGGATGCAGGCAAAGTCACATTGATCACATTTGAAAGGTTTCTCCCCTGAAAGAAAATTTAGCCCCACAGGATCAGAATATATTTGGAGATTGATCCAATCTATATTTGATGGTCAGGATAAATACTGTAAGTTGAATGATTGCATTAATCAGATTTAAAATACCGGTAACTTTGAAGTTTGAATCATAAAACTTAAGCTGCTCTCGACGGTTGAAGGCAGTAATCATTTTGACTTCAATATTGCTCTTGACTGAAGTTGTACAGTAGCATGGATAGTACAGTACATGTATACAGTGGATGTGTGTGCCTCACCTGTGTGAATACGGTAATGTCGTTTGAGATCGTCATAGCGGATAAAGGCTTTCTCACATTGATCGCATTTGTGAGGCTTTTCCCCAGTGTGCCTGAACGCATGACGTGACAGCTCTGCAGGTGTCTTGAAAGCCTTGTCACAGCCTTCCACCTCACACTTGTGGGGCTTCTCTTCCTGATGAACTCGGCGATGAACCCTACCAAAACCAAAATACACACAATTAGAATCCAAACAGAGCAATTTGGTGGGAGTCAGACCAATTTTTACTTTGGGGTGGGAAAGGCATGTAGTAGGTACCGTCCCCTAGTTCGTTTCCCCACCCAACCAAGCCAAGAACGTACAGACCATTACACCCAGCATCCAATAGAAAACATATAAAAAACTACTTTAAAATACATGTTACAATTACCGTAGTGATCCCGGGTTGTTAAATGCCTTGCCACAAGCTTCGTGATCACAGATGTAAGGTCTGTCCTCTGAATGTGACAGAACATGGGATCGCAGAGAACTGGGGTTGTTAAATGCTTTGTCACAGTACTCACACTCATATGGCTTCTCACCTGTACAATCATAGCACAATACACCTTGAGCACTTACATTGTGCTAGGGAAAAACTGGCACAAATTTAAAAAAGAGAATTATTATTCTCAATGAAATGATCACAAATTGCTTATTTCCAAATGCTCTGGATGCAATGTTGTAGCTTCAATAATTATTATATATTGAACAATAAATCAAAAAAGTCAAAATTGAAAGTATGCCACTGCACCCTATTGCATATTGTGTACAATAATTATGTTGATCTGCAAAATTTGTCAAACTAAATTTCTTATGAACTGCCCAAAAGATAATAATATCACACATGTAATTATTGTACCTGTATGAATGAGCATGTGCTGACGCAGGTTGCTGGCATAGTTGAAGATCTTGCCGCACACATCACATTTGTGCTGCTTCTCACCAGAGGCATGTTCTCTCATATGTCCGTAATATGACCATGAGCGAATGTAAGATTTCCCACATATTTCACAGGTGTATTTGGGTTTGCCATCCTCTAAAAAATGTAAACACAGTGGTGCTGTAATCGTAAAACAATTTACAGCACTGACATTTGTCACATCTACACCATGAACAGCACCATGTGATACAAAAACATGCTGTGTTCATCATCAAACATGTACATGTACATTATACCATGTACAGTACATGTATTTGTAAAAATCTTCGTGGTAAAAGAACATCACAATTTCAATACAATAACTTTGAAGGCTAAAGGCAAGGATGTAAAGCGAAATATAACTCACCATCACCCTCGTTCTCGTCTCCTTCATTTCCACCTTCTGCCCCATCCACTGGCGTCTCTATCACAGCAGGATGAACAGTGACAAGAGTGGCTCCCTGCTCTTGAGCTACAGCAGCAGCTGCCTCTGCACTGGTGGCAGCAGCAATAATAGCCTCTGTGTTGGTTGTTAAGGTAGTGGAACCAGTCGATACCCCTGTGTCTGTTTGTGATGTTGCCAAAGCTGACATCTGAGTGACACTTAATGGCACTTGAATGGTTTGGCCACCAGGAAGCTGGATTGTTTGGCTTGTTGCTCCTGGTTGTGAGGGACTTATCTAAAACGCAGAGGGTAAAGGTACACTGTAAAGTCTGCATAGAACCAAGTGGCCCAATTTCAGGCTGGCACTTACATGTACGAATACTCTGGTTTCAGGAGCATCAAGCACCTAGGAGTATTTCTACTCCACCCTGGATGGGACACTTGTCCATCCCAGGGTTACCCCTACATCAAATTTGTCAGTACCCATTTATACACCTGGGTGGAGAGAGGCACAATGGAAGTGAAGTAACTTGCCCAAGAATGCAACACAATGTCCCTAACCAGGGCTTGAAACCCAGTCTGCTGAATCTGGAGGCAATCACACTAACCATGCAGAGGCCACCACGCCTCCACAGCTAGACAGGTAAAACTGTGCAGTGTGGAGCAATACATATGGGTTATTGACCAAGTGTGAGGTCAAGATAGCTGGATATCGGCCAAGTTCTTTTTTTGCGTGATTATGGACCAAGACGGAGTCGAGGTTCATAAACACGCAAAAAAAGAACGGGTCAATATCCAGCCATCTTGACCGAATAAACTTGGTCAATAAAGGAATTATTATATGGCTTTCTGGGAAATTTCTCTGGCGGGACACGGCGGGTAGTCCCGAGCGGGCAAGATGGCTCCATCTTGCCCGCTTGGGTAGCCAATCACAGTGTAGGATTTGATTCATCTTGCCCGCTCACAGAGCTAGCCATATAATAAAGGTTGTTATTGAACACCTTTCAACTCTAATTTACTATTTCTGTGCAGCTGCATACATGTGTACAATGAACATTAATGTATATCTGGAGTAAGAATATTTAAAAAGTACCTTAGATTTCACGATATACATGTACATGTAAGTACTGTATTGTGTCAATTTCATCCACACTCGTATATTTAAAAATGCATTAATTTAGCATTATGCTGCTAAACACAAGTGTGATTCAAAGTCTCACCTGTAAGGTAGCAAGTGGCATTTGACTAAGAGTAGCCTGAAGTGAGTTAAGAGTGCTGGGATCTGCTGATGTGACAATCGGAATGAACCGAGCAGGAGACTGGTGCTGAAGGTACTGTATGTCACCTGTGGCAGACTGGGAAAGAACTTGAACTGCTATCATTTCAGCCTGCATGGTGGAGAGTGTGGCCTGGTCCATAACTTGAGACAGAACTGATGTAGGTATTGTCGTAACCTCAGTGGAAGATGCTGTGGAATAAAAGTTCCATAAATGCATTACAGAACATTCACAAGGGTTTCATTGACATTTTCAGAAGGAGGGCCAGTGGGTAATTCACAGGTGGGCAAAACTTTTTGATCCGAACTTTTATATACGAAAACCTTTCTTCTAGATAGTCAAACCAAGTGGGCGAGATCATCCTCACAGCCAGTCAATTTGCCCAGTACCCTTAATGAAAAAATTTACAGTTTATATACTGTATTGTTGACTTAAATTGAAGGGAAAAAAAGGTTAAACATTTCCAGTCATTACAATTGAACCCAAGAAACATCTGAATGAGCCACTGAAGAGCTCTGACATTACCATTATCGATAACCATCTCCTCCTGAACCAGGCTAACCTGCCCATCACTGGAAGTCACCTCAGTACCACTCCCTGCCTCCACTACCTCCAGGTACACTGCTGGTTGGTCTCCCTGCCCAGACTCCATGTTGGCACCTGGCTGAATTGCAACATACAAGGTTTGAGGCTGCTGTGCATCAGTGTCATTCCCTGATGTTGCAACTTCTTGAGGCTCCACCTCTGTTGCTGAAACAACTTGGTTATTATCCTAGAAGTATTGGACAGAGTGTGAGTTATTTAACAAATAGAAACCATGTTCTCTGTGTTTCTATGGAGTTTTAGTATAAATCTACCAGCGTTCTATCACAAATACTGCTCTCTGATTGGCTACACTACTCACTATCTATTCTGTGATAGATAGTGAGTAGCATATATAGCAGTGTGCGCATGTTAACAAAATGGCGGCCACCTCTTGGCATTTTCGAAGTGTCTGTGAAGAGGATTTAGATTCATGAAGTTCTGAATGACTAGTAGATTTATACTAAAACAATTAAATTATTCACTCTTGATTTCTATGCATGATGGTTGACTCAGGTGTGATAGAAATCTCCAGGTCATAATCTAATTGCTTAATAGAAACAAAAGTGGAAGTTTAGGAGAACAAGAAAACATGAGCCCAGGGGCGACTGTTTCCACAGCTTTTTTGAGTTCTCCTAAACTTCCACACGTGTTTCTATAACTTGATAAAAACTTGGAGAAAATGTTTTCTTTTTCTTTTAGAAAATTTAATGACAAAAAAAGAAAACAAATTGTTTACCCTGATCATCAAAAATGTAAATTCTTTTTGCTTGCGCCATCATTACGTCAACAGCTCATACTAGTTCTGTGTTTCTATCGAGTTATAGAGACACAATTTTACACCAATCAGCATCCTCATTTTCTTTGGGCTATTTTCCAAAAACTTTTGGCTACTACTTAATCGATATAAAATTGTATTATGCTTTTATCTACAATCATGGACAAAAGTCTTGGGACAAATTTTCACTTTTGGCGCTTTTGCGTACACGCCACTGAGGCGCGAATACAACTTCACCTGCCTAACCTCGCCCCCCACCCCCATACAATGTTGAAAACTACTACGTGCAATTTCAACTGATTTTCAACATTGTGTTGGGTGGGGAGGGGGGACAGCAACCCATTTATAAAGGATATAGCAGCATTTTCTTCATACTTCAGTTCTAAAACACAGATAATCCGTTACATTACATAAGTGTCCCAAGGACTTTTGTTCACAATTGTAGGACCCTGTACTATCAATGAAGTCTGTATTTTTTAGCCTCATCAAGGTTAACAATATTATTTTAAAAAATCTGAAACAGATCTGAAACCTGTCATAACAAGCCAGGTAGTAATAATGATAAAAACTTGATTGATGTGCCAGTAAAAGTGGCTAACATGTACAAGTAGCTGAAGGATCACCCTATACCGCATAAGACAGGGAACACCTACATGTACGTGTAACTAAATTTAAATTTCAAATTCAATAAATAAAAACTCAGAATAATAAAAATAATTATAAAGATTGATCTATTTACCTGCTGATCTGCTGTGACAGCTGAGCCATCTGCATCAGAACCCTGCTGTGCTTGTGGTCCTTGCTGTAATACTTGCTGTTGTCCTGTGTTTGACGCAGTTTTAACAGATGACAGATCTGATGTTCCTTCTGTCTCTGCACTGGATTCCAATGCTGTTTCGTCTGTTGACACCTCTCTAGCTGCTGGTAAACATAAGGGAGAGGCACATTTCCATGTACTCAATATTCAGAGTGAAATAAGTAAAACTCAAGTAATCCTGCAAAATTTGTACATTATTATTATGTGACATGGCGACAAAAAAGGAACCTACATATAAGTATGTAAATTATTTTGTTCATTCTTTTTTGAGATAAAATTAATGTACCTACAATACTCTTTTTGTTTTCACAGTCCTTCAGATTCCATATGTGTTTACTTAGTTCAGTTACGTTTCTGTACTGTTCGTTTCTGAAACGTTCGTTTCGGTACAGAAATGTAACTGAACGAAGTAAACACGTATGGAATCTGAAGGACCGTAACATAAATTACGAAATCAAATGGAGGAAAGTAAAACAAGAGAAATCGTATTCAAACATCAACAACAAATGTAATCTCTGTTTATGGGAAAAGTTTTTCATCATTTGTAAACCAGAAATGGCAACACTAAATCAAAGAAACGAACTGACATTGACCTGCAGACACTCTAAGAAATATCTGTTAAGTAATGTGATCGCTTAATTGTATTTTGTATACAAGACCGTCACAATTCCATCACCCAATAACATCTCGACATGTCATGCTGTAAGGCATTGTTCCCTATTTTAAATGAGTATATCTAAGATTGTAACCATTTTTTCTGGCAGTTGCCTGATGTTTGCTTCACAAGAAGCATGAAACTTAGAGTAGCCAATAAATGTGTTTGAATTAGTCCAACTCCATAAATCTATCTCTAAAAAAAAGTATATATACAGCTTATATGCCTATAACTCATACTTTCACAAGCTACATACATACATACATACATACTTTATTTGCAACTCCCCAAAGGGGCTTTCCAGTTACAAACGGAATAAAAAAGATAAAAATATGTCAATTAAAATGAATAAACAAAATGGGAAACGAGTCTAAAATTAATGTACTACTAGGGGACAAAGAAACACTGCTGAGTCTTGATGGGAGTCAAACCCTTGACCTGCACACCAGTTGTATGTTCTGAGTTACATGAAGGAGACTTGTTGCTACAGAGCTTTATCATTTACTTGGTTATACTGTATGTGACACGAACACAGGCCGTCAAACCTGTATATAACAGCCACCCTCAGGACTTGAGGAACTGGCCGCTTTATACAGGTGGCCACTTAATATAGTTTCACTAAAAATACCCACTGGGCATCATCTAATGTCAGTTTTAATGACTTCGTGATACAGTATGGTACTATACTTCAGCATTTGCAGACAACTGGGAAGCATTAACGATACTAAATGGGCAATTATAAGCTTAAAGAAGTTTTGCACTTGTTATTTCTTTATAGTGTTAATGGATTGCACTTCAAACACATAAAATGACATGTGGCTTAGTTTCCATTCAAAATAATAAAGAAAAGCAAACATAGGACTGCTAAAGGGTGGCCGCCTAATACAGGCAACAAATACAGCATTTGTATGAGCAAAAAAATCAGGACTTTGAAAACTGGCTGCTTAAAGGAGGGTGGTCACTTAATACAGGGTCGTTATATCCAAGTTAGACTGTACATTTGAACAGAGTACACTCAAAAATTCTGCTAAAATTTTCATCAAGTAGAACTTCAACCACAGCTCATAAAATAATGTTTGATACATGTCAATGACAAAATTCTGATTGGTTTTGGGCCTTTTCCATGTTTGTTTTGCCACAGCACATACATCTGGGGAAATTGATAATGCTCATACTTTGAAAATGAAAATGGAAATGGCAAATGTGGCATGCTTTGAATTATAAATCCCACATGTTGGCAAAAGTAATTGATAAGCCTCTAAAATAATGGTGTCACATTCAAATCATCCTAGCTATGTTGTGGAGGAAGTATTCTCTTTGAATGTAAAGTAAAACTTTATTCAAACTCTGTGGTGCATTAAGCTCAAGGTAATCAACTATTAAGTTTAAGAATATAGCTTAAGATATTTTTAAGAAGACCACTACATGTATGTTGATTTACAAACTGGTGAACAATTAATTGCACTTCTAACAATAGTTTTAAGATCAAAGGCTACATGCACTCCAGGCATCATGTTTAAATGTTTCAACTTCGGCAAAATTGACTGAAATCCCTGGGACCACACTTTGACTCTGCATTCCAAGTCACTTTCGCAAAGTTCCGACTCACGTATTTCGCTACCAAACACGAGAAAATTTGCAGATATGTATCAAATCGGCTCCAAAACGTCGATGGATAACTTCAAATTTCCACAAGGACTATATATTCAACCAAGGGTATGAAAAAAGACAAACGACATTTCGTAATACTTGCCGATCGCCACCACACAACTTCAAATTGAATTTTTAAAATCACGACGGAACGCGAAGAAACCACTCCTTGTCGCGTGTGGAACCGTTACGAAATACCCTTTGTGAAACACAACCGGCTTCAATAAGTAAAATGACAAATAACATTCAATTCGAAATACAACCACATTTGGAAAACTACACATAATGTGAACGTCGATCCTTCGAAAGAAGGAGAGCGGCTAACACAAGTCTACAAAGCCCGAATAAACGCTCAAAGAGTGAAACAAAAGTAAAATATGGCGCCGATCGCTCTGCCGTTGTTTGAGCTTCCAGGGCTGGCAAGTAGAGAACGAAAGTTGGAAAGAATTGGCGCCTCTGCTTCGAATCTTCTCGCCCTTTACTCCTCTTCACTTTCTAGTCGATGGAAAGCGATGAAAGTAGAGAAATCTTTAGGAGGGTCAGCGGAAATCGTAGTATCTTCCACAAATAATCCCGCTGACCTTCCCAAAACGACAAACAACGCGGTCAACCTCATGGTTGGCGGAGGGTCCTCATATATTCGCTGTTTTTGCACGCTTTTCACTTCCATGTGGTAATTAACTAACTCAAGGAAGGATTTAAAGCATTCGTTAAGAGTTATAGAGTTGTTTCACACGGCAAGTAAGTGTGTTTAGGCCGCGAAAAATCGTTTGCATTTGTAACGACTCCGAAGCGAATTTTGGCGGGCACACTTTACGGGCCAGTTTTGAATTCGTAGAGTTCAAGATTTGTATTTGGTTGACTGAAAAGGCATAAAAACGGCTACTTCAAATTCGTCTTTGACTTTTTTCCAATAAAACCGACTCTAAATTTTGTTTTCTAGTCGCCTTACCTTCTTCTTGGTTGCTTGAAGACGCCATGTTCTGACGAATACACCCAGAATCCTTTGCGAGACGTTCCTTATTGCCTCTCGATCGATCTCCTGGCCCTCTCGATCTGGACTTTGAACAATATTTTGTACCATCATCATAGCTTCTTTAACAGTAAAAGTTATATCTTTGAAACTCGCCAAGAGTGGGCAACCTCTTCCTCTGAGCCATTATAATGTCATTATCTTGAACCCTTATTACTCCCGGCCGATCCCATTTTGGCCGTTCAGTTTTTCATTGTGGCCGTTCAGTTTTTCACACTATGACCGCTACGAGCTTACTCAAGTATAGTAACCTGTAAAATTTTGAATAAACTTTCGGTATTTTGAAAGATCTGTTGTCATTTTTGTAAGAAACCAATTTATTTCTTTTTCTTTTTGCGGGGTAGTAAAACTTAGTGTCTGGCCACACCCACCTACCGCCACCCCACCCCTCCACCCCCGATACCTACGGGGAAGGTCAAGATAAAATAGAGGATTCAGGGTGCCAAACTCAGCCATTCCAACCCACTGACAATTGTTATTTACAATCCACTGGTTCGTTGTCAAAATCGCTTGGTTGACTACGAAGGCGGGGAGGATGAAACTGTTTATTTTCAACAAAAATGTTTGGAAATTCAATTTTCGACAGTTCAAATTTCGACCTTCAGAAAATCTTCCAAACAACTTTTATTCCATGTAAAGTATCCTGTTGCTTCGGCTAAAATATGATTGTTTGTTCGTTTGGAGACACTGAAGGATTCTGGTCGTAAAAACTTAGCCTTTAAAATATTTTGGCATACATTGTAATATATTAGTTATTATGCAATTAATTATTCATGTATTTATCGTACTTTTAGCACGTGGAAAGAGACCGGAGAACGGAGCTAAATTTGAACTTAGTTTGCTAGTTCCTACGGGAAATAAATCAATCAAATCAACGATGTTAGCCTCAAAAATTCGTCGTTCATGCTGCTCAGGCTATCTACGTTCATGTGCTGCAAGTATTAACGAAAGGAACTTGGTGGACGCGTCGTCAAAGAGTTGAAATCGTGTTCTCTGTCAAAGAGGTAAGCCTAATCAACCAACTGTTTAATAAGCTTTGATGGAGTTGCTCTCAACAAAAATACGGTGAATTTTCTTTTACATATGGATTGTTTCGTCTTACGTATGCTCTAAACTGTTATTAAGTTAAACGCAGGAAAGTTAAACAAGCTAAGCTTATGTATAATATAATATGCTTATTGATAATGACGATAAGCTTAATTTTATGCAATTAAAAGTTGCTTGCCTTGGTCAGTTTATTGATATCTAAATTCCCATAATCATGTGTGCATAATTTTAAGTTTTAAGTTCTCTTCAATGATCTTCCCTTCTGTAGACTGAGGATATATTTTCTGTTGGCCTTTAGATTAAAATGGTTGCTGCCGGGCAGGTGCCGTTGTGAAGGGTAATTGCAGGTTTTCAGGCAGCTCAGTTTAGTCTGGGATAGGGTATACAGATCAGACAGTTTTGGTCTAGAATAGGGTATAGTTTACTGGGAAAGCAGACAATGTAAAAATAATTTAGTCTTAGGAACAGGGTTCAATTACCCGAGGTTCTATAATAGAAATTAAAACTCAGAATTGTGAAGTAACTTTGTAAGATATTGGTTTAGTTAGCGTATGTTGGACTACGGCAGAGATAAAGTTTCTGCATGGAAAATACCTAGTCTGGTTTAGGATAGGGTAGGGGTTTTTGATGCCTAGTCTAGAATAGGGTTTCGAAATCAAGCTGATCATGGTCTAGTATATATCTAGGGTAAGGGCTGTAAGTGTCCTGGCGGCACACTCCCATCCAAAGATTTATAGGGTACCCACCTGGGAGTGGCGGGGGTTACTATTTTGGCAGCATCTGGCAGGTCTTAAATGGGGTTGAGGGGTGAGAGGTGTTGCCATTTCCAATATTGAATGCTAGCCATACATACATGTGCTAGTAAATGGTGACTTGTCTAAAATGGGGGTGAGACATGAAGGATGAGGGGTGTTGCCATAATCTGACATTATCAAAAGCCAACCATGAACAGACTATACTAGCTAAGCTGTGGATTGTATTTAGGCTATTTAGGATTTTGTATCTGAGTGCTCTACAGGCCCACTCTCAACCCAACACCCCAGTTTTACATGTAGACCTAACAGGTACCACAACATCAGATCTGTTTTCAGGACTTGATAATGATAAGTCTTTTCTCAGTGATCCTCTCCAGTTTTTATTGGTAACTGTACGAATGTGAATGCAATAAATGACATATAATTATATCCAGATACTACAAGTGATACCTGTACATGTATGTGATAATTCTCTCAAAACTGCACTGCGAGCCTGTACAGTAGGTGTGTGCAATGAGGGCTTTTCTCCTGTAACTCATAATTTTATGTGAAATGGGGAAATCATCAACTTGTGTGCATTCAGCTGCACTGAAGTGATGTCAAGCTTCTTAATTGTTAAATTTGCCTGCTTTCAGTGGATCAGTTTGAAGTAAGTAACTTTTGCAGGCCTGCAATGACAGGTAAAAAATAATGAATATTGTAGTACCATTGAAATAATTCATCTACAGTATGACTGTATGTTGTAAATGATTTTAACTATGCATCAACCTTATGTGACCACAATTTTTTTTTTTCGATTCTTCAGCGTGGGTAAGAGGCTTATTAGATGATGTCCAGTTCTCATGATTAGTATAGAGAACAGGCAGGAGGATAGCTGTGAGCTTCCGAATAAACCACAGGTTAGTGTTAGCTAATGTTATTAAAAATATTCTCAAGTCAGTATATAGATGGCCATGTAGGAAGCATGGTGGTGTAATGGTTAGTGTGCTGGACTCCGGATCAAGTTGTCTGTGTTTGAACCATGGCTGGGGTCACTGAGTCTTGTTCCTGGGCAAGACACTTATCTCGCAGTACCTGTCTTTAACCAGGAACATTAAATGAATAAAACCCAATTATTGGGGTTAATATCTTACAGAATGCTGGAGAGTAATAACCTGCAATGGAGTAAAATGCTAGCATTTCATCTAGGGGGAGTAGCAATGAAACTGCATTGCCATTGCCTTCTGCATTATTATGGGACAGCATAGCTGCAGTGGTAAGTTACAAATTAACAGCAGCAAAGTTGCAACATTACTTCCTTCCCTCCATCATGGGTGTCCTTCGGGAAAAAAATCGTACACCCCCTAGTTTCAATAAACTCTATACTATATATCAGAAGAAAGTTTAATAAATGAAGTTTACGATAAGAATACAATTTGAGCAAGTTTTTCTTTTAGGAAGTTTTAGGGGCTGTAAGATGTGAAGCGACCGAGGGTTTTTGTATTGAATTTATCAGCTAGCGGATGCCACCACACAAGCAAATTGGCTGCACAGTCTTATTCACAAGGCATCAATCAACAAAAATGTCGAGCTTTTTCAGTATTCTGATTGGTTGTCTAGATGTCCGCATCTATAGTTAGAGTAGCTAAAAATATGTAAGACATGTTGCTTTAATGGAGGCCTCGGGAAAAATATGTTAAATATCAAAATTTCCTGACATACTTTCATTTGTCATTATCCCTGGAATGTTCTGGCGGAATTTCACAAAAATCCATCAAATCTTCATACCCTTTAAATTCGCTCAAAGTGGAGGTATTCCTCCCAAAATCAAATGCGAGATTTTAGCTCGTAAAGATTTGTAAACAACTCACACCACGCCAGGAGATTATCTCACCTTATGAAACCGCAAGCCAGTGGAACAACAGGACCTCCCAGCNTACATACATACATACATACATACATACATACATACATACATACATACATACATACATACATACATACACTGGGAAGCATTAACGATACTAAATGGGCGATTGTAAGCTTAAAGAAGTTTTGTACTTGTTATTTCTTTATAGTGTTGATGGATTGCACTTCAAACACATAAAATGGCATGTGGCTTAGTTTCCATTCAAAATAATAAAGAAAAGCAAACATAGGGCTGCTAAAGGGTGGCCGCCTAATACAGGCAACAAATACAGCATTTGTATGGGCAAAAAAATCAGGACTTTGAAAACTGGCTCTTTAAAGGAGGGTGGTCGCTTAATACAGGGTCGTTATATCCAAGTTAGACTGTACATTTGAACAGAGTACACTCAAAAATTCTGCTAAAATTTTCATCAAGTAGAACTTCAACCACAGCTCATAAAATAATGTTTGATACATGTCAATGACAAAATTCTGATTGGTTTTGGGCCTTTTCCATGTTTGTTTTGCCACAGCACATACATCTGGGGAAATTGATAATGCTCATACTTTGAAAATGAAAATGGAAATGGCAAATGTGGCATGCTTTGAATTATAAATCCCACATGTTGGCAAAAGTAATTGATAAGCCTCTAAAATAATGGTGTCACATTCAAATCATCCTAGCTATGTTGTGGAGGAAGTATTCTCTTTGAATGTAAAGTAAAACTTTATTCAAACTCTGTGGTGCATTAAGCTCAAGGTAATCAACTATTAAGTTTAAGAATATAGCTTAAGATATTTTTAAGAAGACCACTACATGTATGTTGATTTACAAACTGGTGAACAATTAATTGCACTTCTAACAATAGTTTTAAGATCAAAGGCTACATGCACTCCAGGCATCATGTTTAAATGTTTCAACTTCGGCAAAATTGACTGAAATCCCTGGGACCACACTTTGACTCTGCATTCCAAGTCACTTTCGCAAAGTTCCGACTCACGTATTTCGCTACCAAACACGAGAAAATTTGCAGATATGTATCAAATCGGCTCCAAAACGTCGATGGATAACTTCAAATTTCCACAAGGACTATATATTCAACCAAGGGTATGAAAAAAGACAAACGACATTTCGTAATACTTGCCGATCGCCACCACACAACTTCAAATTGAATTTTTAAAATCACGACGGAACGCGAAGAAACCACTCCTTGTCGCGTGTGGAACCGTTACGAAATACCCTTTGTGAAACACAACCGGCTTCAATAAGTAAAATGACAAATAACATTCAATTCGAAATACAACCACATTTGGAAAACTACACATAATGTGAACGTCGATCCTTCGAAAGAAGGAGAGCGGCTAACACAAGTCTACAAAGCCCGAATAAACGCTCAAAGAGTGAAACAAAAGTAAAATATGGCGCCGATCGCTCTGCCGTTGTTTGAGCTTCCAGGGCTGGCAAGTAGAGAACGAAAGTTGGAAAGAATTGGCGCCTCTGCTTCGAATCTTCTCGCCCTTTACTCCTCTTCACTTTCTAGTCGATGGAAAGCGATGAAAGTAGAGAAATCTTTAGGAGGGTCAGCGGAAATCGTAGTATCTTCCACAAATAATCCCGCTGACCTTCCCAAAACGACAAACAACGCGGTCAACCTCATGGTTGGCGGAGGGTCCTCATATATTCGCTGTTTTTGCACGCTTTTCACTTCCATGTGGTAATTAACTAACTCAAGGAAGGATTTAAAGCATTCGTTAAGAGTTATAGAGTTGTTTCACACNTTGAGGGGTGAGAGGTGTTGCCATTTCCAATATTGAATGCTAACCATATATACATGTACCAGTAAATGGTAACAGGTCTAAAATGGGGGTGAGACATGAAGGATGAGGGATGTTGCCATAATCTGACATTATCAAAAGCCAATCATGAACAGGCTATACTAGCTAACCTGTGGATTGTATCTAGGCTATTTAGGATTTGGTATCTGAGTGCTCTACAGGTCCACTCCCAACCCCACACCCCAGTTTTTAGGACCTAACATGTACCACAACATCAGGTCTGTTTTAGGGATTTGATAATGAGAAGTCTTTTCTCAGTGATCCTCTCCAGTTTTCATTGGTAATTGTGTGAATGTGAATAGAATGAATGACATATATATCCAGATCCTACAAGTGACACCTGTACACGTACCTGATAATTCTCCCAAAACGGCACTGCGAGCCTGCACAGTAGGTGGGTGTGATGAGGGCTTTTCTCCTGTAACTCGTAATTTTATGTGAAATGGGGAAATTATGAACTTGTGCATATTCAGCTGCACTGAAGTGAAGTCAAACTTCTTGTTAAATTTGCCTGCTTTCAGTGGATCAGTTTGAAGTAAATAACTTTTGCAGTCTTGCAATGAACATTGTAGTACCATTGAAATAATTCATCTATGACTGTATGCTGTAAATGATTTAAACTATGCATCAACCTTATGTGACCATCACAACTTTTTTTTTCAGTTCTTCAGCTTGGGTAAGAGGCTTATAAAATGATGTCCAGTTCCCATGATTAGTGCAGGTATAGAGAACAGGCAGGAGGATAGCTGTGAGCTTCAGAATAATTAAACCACAGGCTAGTGTTAGCTTGTTATCAAAAATATTCTCATTGTTACAAGTCAGTATATAGATGGCCATGTACATGTAAGAAGCGTGGTGGGGTGTAATGCATGGTTAGTATACTGGACTGTAGATCAAGTTGTCTGTGTTTGAACCATGGCTGGGGTCACTGAGTCTTGTTCCTGGGCAAGATAGTTTACTCACAGTGCCTATCTTTAATCAGGAGTATTAAATGAATGAAACCCAGTTATTGGGGTAAATATCTTACACAATGCTGGAGAGTACATGTAATAACCTGCAATGGAGTAAAATGGTAGCATTTCATCTAGGGGGAGTAGCAATGAAGCTGCATTGCCATTGCCTTCTGCATTATTATGGGACAGCATAGCTGCAGTTATAAGTTACAATGTAACAGCAGCAAAGTTGCAACATTACTTCCTTCCCACCATCATAGGTGTCGTTTGGGGAAAAAAATCGTACATCGGCCAGTTTCAATAAAACCCTAACAAGCTACATGTATATATCAGAAGAAAGTTTAATGAATGAACTTTACAATAAAAATTCAGTTTAAGCAAGTTTTTCTTTTAGTACATGTAAGTTTCAGGAGCCATAAGGCGTGAAACAATCGAGGGTTTTTCTATTGAATTTATCAGCTATCAGATGCCACCACACAAGCAAATTGGCTGCACAGTCTTATTCACAAGGCATCAATCAACTCATGTGTCGGGCTTTTTCAATATTCTGATTGGTTGTCTAGATATCCACATCTAAATTTGGAGTAGCTAAAAATATGCAAAATGTGTTGCTTTAATGGAGGCCACGGGAAAAATATGTTTAATATCAAAATTTCCTGACACATGTTTGTTTGTCATTATCCCTGGAATGTTGTGGCAGAATTTCATGAAAATCCATCAAATCTTCATACCCTATAAATTCGCTCAAAGTGGAGGTATTCCTTCCAAGATCAAATTTATGCAAGATTTTAGCTCGTAAAGATTTGTAAACAACTTAGTCGCACCAGGAGATTATCTCGCCTTGTGAAACTGCAAACCAATGGAACAACAGAACCTCCTAGCATCAATGACAATGGATCAGTATTTCCCGGGAAAAGCATCACATTGCAACATGTTTTCTATCTCGCTGTCACGTTGAAGAGAAAGACACTAAAGCAGACAAAGTAGCCAAAGGCAAAAGAACAAATGTACGATGTAAACAATACCAAATAACATGAAACTTGAGCTCCAAGATGAGCATTTGTCACAAACATTTCCCCTGGTGGTTTTGTCCATTAATAGCAATTATGACACCTTCCTGGTTTATTAACTTTATTTTGAAAAGACGTTTGTTTCTATTTAAATAACTTGGCTGCTTTTTGAGATTTTTAATACTTTTCTTTTGTAAACTTTAGATAAATTGACTGACTGAAACGTTAAAATAAAAGAAAAAATGATTTTGGTGCCCTCAAAGGTGGGAAGTAACCTTAAGATGTGGCTCACACACTTTTGCAAAAATCCTGTTCAAGATTCACAAACTGGTTGGTCATGTTTATCTCTGCAGCTGTTATAACAACCATGAAGTCTTACCAGTGCTTCTCCAGTAGTGTCAAGGTTTTTTTTTTTTTGGTGACGGGGGTGGGGGGAAGGGTTGCTTCCTTATCCCTTTCCTTTTCTAAAGGACAAATTCAAATTACAGGGGAAATTATCAGATACTACAATAACATGTATCTTCAGGTGGTGCAAGGCTTTATTATCAATTCTTAACTTTATTTTTTCCGCAAACATAGATTAAACAGACTGCGAGATCACACAATGTCATTAGAGCTGGAACAAGTATCTCAATTAACCTGGACAGGAGAAAATGGTTACATTTTAAAATTGCAGCTAAGTGTTCAGTTCTGTTTAAGGAATATTCTTTTGTTAATTAGGAAATGATAATTAGATGCCCAGTAAGGCTGTCTTGAATTGGCTTGCACATGGGAGAACTGACAAAATCTTCCCAGTCTAGAGTGTGTTGAAGATTAGATGTGAGTGTTTAATACTCGTCAACAATAGATGAGCTTGGGGAATGGTGCTTAAAAGGATGGTGGAAGCCATGAGCAATCTGGACCAAGTGTGTAGGGTATCCATGTGACAACCCTGTGAGCGGCAACCACCAGGCACCATCACACTGAACAAACAGTGGAACAAAAATACTTACCACATCCATTCCATGAGAAGAGGAGGGGTGCTGACCTGGGCAAAAAGCTCTAGGAGAACAGTCAGCAGCAAAAACATGCAGAATGACTTGACATGTGAAGCCAAACTGTAAACTATAAAGAGCCCAGGCACAAACTCACTTGCCACCCCACACACCAATCCTATTTGGGAGACTTCTGGCCAGCAAAATTGTCTTGTGTTTAACATAGCCTAGTAAATTACATTTAGCCACATTTAAACTCGTCAACAATAGATGAGCTTGGGGAATGGTGCCTTAAAGGATAGTGGAGCCACAAGCAATCCAAGCTAAGCACGAAGGGTATCCATGACAACTCAGTGTGAGTGGCAACCACCAGACCTTGCCCTCCTAGATGCTTGGAGGGCAAAGGTCCGCAAAGAGGGGTGGAGGCGGAACCAAGGCCCACCAAACGTTCCAAACACCAGATCCCATGCCCTGACAAAAAGGAGCAGAAACCCAATTAAACAAAGACAGATACATGCCAAGACAAAGAAACAACATGATGGTTTCTACAGGACTTATTTGATTGTAAAATACTAAAAACTGGCTACATTGTCAATGCCCAGCATGACAAATGACAGCTCTAGGAACCACAGGGCTATACCAATCCAGGCAGCACTGACACAGACTGAGTCATATCCAAGAACTAAGTTTCTGAGATGGCATGAGCAAGCCACTCTCTAGCGGAGCACACTAATGTGGTGACCCAGTTAAACCTAACCTCCGTACCATGAATGGAAGCACCTAGGAGGACAGAATAACGATACTCAACCATTACTGAATACAAAGCAGCTAGGTTGAGCAATTAGGCCATGCGAGGGCCCCACAGTCGCTGCAGATCCTGCAGTGGGTCTAAACGAAGGATCATCGAGCAGCTGAAGATGCGAACTGCATGAACGATAAGTAGGCAGTGCTTGTCTGATACTCAGAGTTTCCATTTCGTCGCCTGGAATGCCATTCCTTACAACTACTGTTGCTGCTCCAATGTGAAACCTGTGGCTGGAAAACTTGCCTTGTATGCCAATTGATGATAAGATGTCGTGCACCGACAATGATTGTAATATAACACGGGATAATGGATGCCCATTACAAAACAGGAACAAAGGGCCTATGTGTAAGGAGCTGCCTTTATGGAACGGATCTGCTTTAGAATCCTTTACCCTGATCCATAGACGTGAAGGGGATGTGTTCAAATCAGCTACAATGCTGGCCACACCCAGGTTGATAGCAGGTGAAAAACTAGCAAGATTCGGGATGGTAATGTCGGCAGAGCAAAGAAAACTACAAAAACCCTAAATTACATGCTGCTCATACAGTGTTCTGGAAGGCGCAAGTCCAATGCACAAAAATTGCCACCACAATGTCTTTTATAACTGGTAAGCGTAACAAAGAGGCATTACCATGAGTTCTTTTAATTCCTCTAAGCACCGATTGCAACCTCAAGCATCAAATAAGAGGATCAGGAAAGCCCTGTTCGATATGCAAGAAGCAAACTGCCGACAGATAAACCCTCATGGTTGAATGTCCACTCATCCTTAGGGTAGGGTGATCCAGATTGATGAATCATATCGAGTTGTATGCAGAGGTTGTAAAACATCTTCAGGCCTGAGACATATAAGCTGCCCGTCAATGAAGTTAGTCGTTGCGCCAAGAAATCATGACACTGGGCCTCTAATGCAGAGGAATCAAGAGCTCCCAAAGCTGGAACCAGGTGCAGTTGTGTGCCGAGGGCCAACTGCTTGAATTCCTGCCAATAAAATCAGAAAAGAGCGTAAGTAATGTTGTTATGGATACCAGGAATATGCCACACACTGAAAGTAAAATTAAAGCAAACAGTTGCAGAAAGTAAATGATACAGAAACTGCACAATACATCGGAACTTAGATGTCCTGGAGATCAAGATGTGTACCACTGTCTCATTATCTGACCAGAAAAAGTACATGATATTGACACCACTGGGAACCCTACTGGTGCAAAGCTACCACTATGGTGAAAAGCTCCTTACTGGCGATGGATCGATGCGACTGCAGGGCACCCATGCACCACTGAGTCACTCAGTATTGAAGTAAACCCCAAAACCCAGCACGCCATCAGCAACAGAAGTCAGTTTTTTGGTCAGGAGGCAGCAGACTGCTCTGGCCAGCACATCCTCGATGCCACCAAATGAGTAGATGAGACAATAAGTAAGTAAGTAAGTAAGTAACTTTATTAATGAGGGTAAAAACACTTTACAGTCATTGACTGATAAACTCGTGGGAAAGGGAAAGCCAAGCAAGTGGCGAAATCTTTAAATTTGTGGCACATTGATCAGAGTCCGGGGGATCCGCTAGAATAAAGTCTTCAAGGTAATGCACCAGGTGTGCAACATCGTACCTATTCAAAATGATCCATTCCGCCATATCCACGATGGAATTAAAAATGTAACGTACATAGCAGAGAGCAAAGGGGATGACCAAGTCGAAGAAGAACTGGCCATGCCACTCCATCCCTAAAAGATATGGATCCTCCAGATGAACTGCAAGATTGCAATGCATGTCCTCCACATCGAGCTTTGCCATCATAGCCACAGGCCCATGCTTGGCAACCGTGCAAGGTCTGGTTGACCTTGATATAGTGCATGGAAAACTGTCAGGATTGGTCATCATTTACACTTGAGCCCCAACGAGGTGACAAATCCATGATGAAGTGCCATTTGCCAGGTTGACCTTTTGGGTGATTACATCAAAACTGCTTATTTTTAAACTGGGCAAGGCAATCAATCAGGTTGGGCCTGCAACCCTATATCATGAAACCTCGTTTCCCAGATAATCATCAATCATCTTATTCTTTTGGCTACCTGTAATCTGCGAGCAGGGCGGAATCCCAGATGAAAACAATTATGATACTGAAGGCCCCAGAGAACATAATATCATGCTGCCTGTTGATTTGCATTCCCAGCCAAGTCCCAATTGAGTTCAGCAACATGCAAATGTGTGGGGAAGTCACCAACACTGTATGAAAGACGGGACACCCCAAAAAAGAAAAATTAACTAACTGGACCCAAAAGTCGCAATATAATCGCTAAAAGCAATTGGAAACAGAGTCACTTGAGACTAGACAAACGTGCCTAAGAGAGCAAAAAGGAAACAAGGCATGGTGGCGAATTTGTGGGGTAAGAGCTGCCAAAGACCTAAAGTCAAATGTCTGTGAAGATGACCCAGAGGCCCTTGGGGAATGGTCACAATGTTTGGAATCAGCACTGCCATCCTTGAAGGGCCAAGTGGTACACGAAGTTGCATGGTGGGAGCCTGGACATACATTGCAACGATGTGCATAATGGCAAGACACAAACAGAACCGTGGTATGCCCAATGATGGCTGAAGACGATCCTGGAGGCTCAAGAGATTGATGAACCAGCCACAATTATAGTAGAGCAATCTGGAAGATGAGTTGCGTCTGCATGTTTGCAGAAAGATTGATCATGAGCAAGCCAAACTCTTCAGGAAAATGGGGGTAGGAGGTACAGGGATCGGAAGTTGGCACTGCATCAGATCCTTCTAGCTGTGAGGAAAATGATGAACAAGAATGAGGGAAAAAATGGAAAATTCCTCCATCCACGAATTATGTCCTTGATGTGCCAGCATTGTTTCTTCAGCTGGGAACTCAACACAAGGTGGCCATCCAGTAACAGCTGTGGTACTGGATTTTTCTGCACCAAGTTAACTGCCAATAATGTACTCTGTTCAATGTCTTTACCTGCGATGATCTTGTCCTGCAAGGGCAAAGCAAGCAGAAAGCACACATAGGCATAGAATGAATTGGTTGATCAATGTGATAGTCCCCCTCCAGCAGCCAAAAAACCGATGGTAGACCTGTATAGCAATGACAGTGTGCTGATTTTAGAAGTGCCCCTGAACACACACTTGCCACAGGCACAGCGGAAGAAATGGGAGGGTTTGCAAAGCCTGATACCACAAGTGCTTGACAATAGGCCCTTTGCAGCTGGGGTCACGTGACCAAATTTTTCCTAAAAAATATTTATATTATGGGCTATAACTTAAAGAATGCCAGAGATGGATAGAGCGCATTGAAAATACCAAAATGGCCAAGTTTGAGGCCCCTGGAATTAAGGAGTAACTTTATACGACAGTTTGAATTTTCAGAAAATTTAGAGGATTCGTATGCAAAATGTTGCTGGAGAGCAAGGTCCTGCTCTCCAGCAACTTTTTCCACAGAAATCTTCTTATTCTTTTAAAAATTTGGACTGTCATAAAATCTCCTTGTTTAATGATGGGGGCCTCGAACTTGGCCATTTTGATATTTTCGACATGCTTTTTCCATTTCTGGCATTGGTTAAGTTATAGCCCATAATGTTATGAAAAATAGGTCACGTGATGGCTTAGCTGCAAAGGGCCTATAAGGCGATCAACAACTGTCTCTGTTGCTTAAAGTGGTACTATGACAAATATTGCATATTTTACACATTTTTCAAACTCAAATATCTTCGGAAGTAATGCAGAGATTTGCAAATGGCAAATGGTGTCTTTATTCTTTCGTGGAATTCTATGTGATACACCTAAAAAATCAAGGGGTAAAAATATGATCATAGTACCACTTAAAAACAAGCTTTAGGCTCAAACTTGAGTCAATTTGGAAAACATGGAACCAACTATTTACCTTAGTGACATAAATTAAAATACAGGAAAGCTATCAATCTGTACAGATGTACATTTTATAAGACCTGGAAAGAAATAAGCAATGGTCCACAGAGCCAAATTACAAAATCTCTCCCTCTGTCTTAGAAACACCACTATAAAACTACATCACTTTGTGAAACTAAGATTGCTTTGTTTTGTAGTTGCAGATATGCTTCATGTCTCCCCCAAGGAGTATGGGTAGATCTCCCATCAGTTGTGGAAAGTGCATGTGAGGAACTATACACTGGCTTGGTTATACATGGATAGGCAGTGAGATTGAAATGGTGTAGGACCACAGTCTGGTCATCTCTGGAGTCTGAAAATCGAGAAAAAAAGGTTAGGGGTGTATTTGATATTGCAGGATAACTTGATCTTTGAATGAAAGTCTTCTCAGTCGCCGTACAAGTGTTTTTCATGGAACATTGAAAAATGTTTTTTATTCAAACTTGGTTCATCAATTATCATCTTGTTGGTTACAAGGGCATTTACAGCAAAATGGAAGAGCTTTAATTAAATTATAGTAAAAATGATTAAAACAAAACTGTAATTATGGAACTGAATTTTTCACTTCACTCACTGAAAAGGCTTTCATTGTCATTTACCCATAGCAGTATGGACTCTGGACTGGACCATAGACTAATTTTTACTCAATTACTTTATGAAGAATGATAATTAGCATAAGGTGGCTGGCAACAGTTTCCAGCTCTTTCCAGCAGTTATACTTTGGCTGATCAATATTACCCCATTTTTCAAATTGTGATACACATGCTTAAGTTACAAATTCTTACAAAGTTCAAAGAATTTTTTGGTCAGGTTTATTAGCAATCTCAAACTTTGGAAAATTTCCTGGCATACAGTGGCCTCCACAAAAATACATTGAACTGTAGTTTTGGCCACTTCTAATACTTTCGATAATTTTAGGTTAAATCTATCGAGGAACAAGATATTTTGTTGGAATATTGTAAGTTTGACTGGCTATTGTCCTACCTTGTGACATTGGAAAGCTACTTACCACACGCAGGCAACCCAGTTTTGGCACCAAATTTAAAGATTTGAGGCATGAATATTTTCATATCTTTCATTTTTAACAATCTGTTTTGTTTTCTGGCATTTTAAATTTCTTTTTGGGAAAATTCATAAATGTAGTAAACAACAATGACATGAATGTGGTAGTAAGAACAATGGTTTGCTTGTGGTTGGCTTTCACTCTAGTTTGTTTTCGATNGCTTCCTTATCCCTTTCCACTTCCTAATGACAAACTCAATACAGGGGAAAGTATCAGGTACTACATGCATCTCTGGGTGGTGCAAGGCTTTATTATTATTTCTTAACTTTATTTTTTCTGCAATCATAGATAATTAAACAGACTGCAAGATCACACAATGGCATTAGAGCTGGAACAAGTGTCTCGATTAACATGGACAGGAGAAAATGGTTGCATTCTAAAATTGCAGGTAAGTGTTCAGTTTAAGGAATATTCTTTTGTTAATTAGGAAACGATAATTAAATACCCAGTAAGGTTGTCTTGAATTGGCTTGCACATGGAGAAACTGACAAAAATCTTCCCAGTCCAGAGTGTGTTAAAGATTAGGTCTGAGTGTTTTATACTCGTCAACAATAGATGAGCTTGGGGACTGGTGCTTAAAAGGATGGTGGAAGCCATGAGCAATCTGAACCAAGTGTGTAGGGTATCCATGTGACAACCCTGTGAGCGGCAACCTCCAGACACCATCACACTGAACAAACAGTGGAAACAAAATTACTTACCACATCCATTCCATGAGAAGAGGAGGGGTGCTTACCTGGACAAAAGCTCTAGGAGAACAGTCAGCAGCAAAAACATGCAGAATGACTTGACTACAAGGAGCCCCGGCACAAGCTCCCTGGCCATCCCACACATCAATCCTTTGAGCGACTTCTGGCCAGCAAAATTGTCTTGGGTTTAACTTAGCCTAGTAAATTACATTTAATTTTAGCCACATTTAAACTCATCAACAATAGATGAGCTTGGGGAATGGTGCCTTAAAGGATAGTGGAGCCACAAGCAATCCAAGTTAAGTACGTAGGGTATCCATGACAACTCAGTGTGAGTGGCAACCACCAGACCCTGCCCTCCTAGGTGCTTGGAGGGCAAAGAGTCCACAACAAGGGGTGGAGGCAGAACTAAGGCCCACCAAACCTTCCAAGCACCAGATCCCATGCCCTGACAATAAGAAGCAGAACCCAATTAAACAAAGACAGATACATACTAAGACAAAGAAACAACATGATGGTTTTTGCGTACATGTAAAATGCTAAAAACTGGTTACATTGTCAATGCCCAGCATGACAAATGACAGCTCAATGAACCACAAGGTTATACCAAGCGAGGCAGCACTGACTCAGACTGGGTCATAACCAAGAACTAACTTTCTGAGACAGCATGAGCAAGCCACTCTCTAGCAGAGCACACTGATGTGGTGACCCAGTTAAACCTAACCTCCGTACCATGAATGGAAACACCTAGGAGGACAGAATTAGGATACTCAACCATTACTGAATACAAAGCAGCCAGGTTAAGCAATTAGGCCACGCAAGGGCCCCACAGTCACTGCAGATCCCAGTGGGTCTAAACTACACGTAAGGATCATCAAGCACCTGAAGATGTGAACCGCAGGAACCGTAAGTAGGGAGTGCTTTTCTGATACTCAGAGTTTCCATCTGGTGGCCTGGAATGCCATTCCTTACAACCACTGTTGCTGCTCCAATGTGAAACCTGTGGCTGGAAAACTTGCCTTGTATGCCAACTGATGATAAGATGGTGCCTACCCACAATGTTAGTATAGCATGGGATAATGGACGTCCGTTGCTAAACAGGAAAAAAGGGCCTGGATCACCTCCCTTCAAAGTCAAATAAGCCAGCAGAGAAGAGATTGCACACAGAGGGTACTCACCCTTAACTATTTGTAAGGAGCAGCCTTTACAGAACGGGTCTGTTTTGGAATCCTTTACCCTGATCCATAGACATGAAGGAAAGGGATGTGTCCAAATCAGCTACAATGCTGGCCACACCCAGGGTGATAGGTGAAAACTGCAAGATTCGGGAAGGTGATGTCGGCAGAGCAAAGAAAACTAAAAAACCCTAAATTACATGCTGCTCATACAATGTTCTGGAAGGCACAAGTCCAATGCACAAAAATTGCCACCACAATGTCTTCTATAACTGGTAAGCATAACAAAGAGGCATTACCATGAGTTCTTTTAATTCCTCTAAGTGCCCATTGCAACCTCAAGCAACAAATAAGAAGATCAGGAAAGCCCTGTTCGATATGCAAGAAGTAAACTGTCTACAGATAAACCCTCATGGTTACAATTGTCCACTCATCCGTAGGGTAGGGTGATCCAGATTGATGAATCTTGTCGAGTTGCATGCAGAAGTTATAAAACGTCTTCAGGCCTGACACATATAAGCTCCCCTTCAAAGACGCCAGCCCTTGCGCCAAGAAATCACGACACTGGGCCTCTAATGCAGAGGGATCAAGAGCTCCCAAGCTGGAACCAGGTGCAGTTGTGTGTTGAGGGCCAACTGCTTGAATTCCTGCCAATAAAATCGGAAAAGAGCATCATTAATGTTGTTATGGATACTAGGAATATACTGCACACTGAAAGTAAAATTAAAGCAATTACAGCTGCAGGAAGAAAATGACGCAGAAGCTGCACGATATGTGAGACCTTAGATGTCCTGGAGATCGAGATGTGTACCACTGTCTCATTATCTGACCAGAAGAGTACATGATATTGACACCCCTGGGAACCCCACTGGTGCAAAGCTCCCACTATGGGGAAAAGGTCGTTATAGGCGATGGACTGATGCAACTGCAAGGCACCCATGCACCACTGAGCCACTCAGTATTGAAGTAAACCCCCCGAAACCCAGTGCGTCATCAGCATCAGAAGTCACTTCCAGTACGCTCGGCCATTTCTGGAAACAACCAGTAGCTCACCCCATACCAAGAGGCAAGAAAATCATGCCAACACTGAATATCCAATTGAAACTCAGCATTTAAAAAAATAGGGTGATCACAAGAGCGGAAACAGCAGAGAAGACTGTATTTTAGCAGTGTGGTGAAGAAGACAGATTAGTGACTCGAGTTGGCATCTTGTGCACCACCTTCTGGACTGCAAAGACTGGATCAAATCCTGTAAAGGAGCCAACTTTTTGGTTGGGAAGCAGCAGACTACTCCAGCACATCTCCAAAACCACCAAAAGAGTAGATGGGACAATGCAGGGCTCGAAATTAACTTTTTCGTTCGGGAGCCAGCTGGCGACTTACGGAAACATTTTGGTCGCCAGATCGTAAATTTTGGTCGCCAACTTATTTTATAAATAACTTACACAAGAACACGATTTTACACATTACTTTGCATGCAAGAAAAGTCACAATTGAAGAACGAAAACAATTAGAAACAACATGAGTAACACTTAGTTATAAAGCTACCGTTGTTCTCAGGTGATATGTCTCTGGTCCGAAGGTGATGGTTGTCTCCATCGTCATTTTATTTTTAAATGAAGGGAAGCATAAAACGTTTTAAGTCCGTGGTTTTCATTGTGAGACAAACACGGGTCCTTGCGTATTTTCCCTTTGCTACTTCTTCGAAATACCGTTCTTTATTTTTGACTTGCTTTCCTCGAAGGATTCAAAGCTCGGATTAACCTTTTGGCTGAATCTTCAGTGGGATGCCCTGAATGCAGTATCGACGTGTCGAAATAAATTCAATTTTTCCGGTTATCTTGTAATATTCAGACATTATTTTACTGGGAACAGAAAGGTGAGTTGTATATTAGCTACCATATCCGATTGATTTCCTAATATAAAGGTTTAAAAACAAAAGTTGTGTCGTGGTTTTCTTTAGTTATCGGTCAAAACGCGAGTCGCCAGCTGGCGACCAGTTCTGAAAATTTAGTCGCCAGTGCTCAATTTTGGTCTCATTGGCGACCAGTGAGTCGCAATTTCGAGCCCTGCAATGGATTTACTAGGATGAAGGGGAAAGCTAAGCAAGCAGCAAAATCTTTAAATCCCTGGCTCATTGATCAGGGTCAAGGGGATCGGCTAGAAGAAAGTCGTCAAGGTAAGGCACATGGTGTGCAACATCATACCTATTCAAAATGATCCATTCCACCATATCTGCCAGGGAATTACAAAATGTAAGGTACAAAGCAGAGACCGAAGGGGATGACCAAGTCGAAGAAGAACTGGCCATGCCACTTCATCCATAAGAGATACAAATCCTCCAGATGAACTGCAAGATTACAATGCATGGCCTCCATGTCAAACTTTGCCGTCATAGCCCCACGCCCATGCCTACTAACTGTGCTGATTATCTGGTTGACCTTAATATAGCGCACGGAAAATAGACAAGATTTCATCATTTACACTTGAGCCCCAAGGAGATGACAAATCCACAATGAGGCACCATTTGTTAGGTTGACCTTAGGGGTATAGGGGGGTCCACAGCACAGTATTAATTAAACTGGAAAAAAGCCCCAGGAGTTTATGGCCGAAAGGGTTAAGGACGTTCGCGCTAATTGTTTCTGCGCATCCCTACTGCACACGCAAATTCACATGCCACATCATGCATGAGAGTGCACGCTGGGTAATAAAATGAACAATGATAGGGTAAATGGCCATTGCTGTAGATTTATCTCCACATTGTCCAAAAATGAACAAAAAATCAATGTGGGAAGTTAAAAAAATTTCAAGATTTCTGTCCACGGGAAATCGAATCCTGCCATCTTGCGGCTGCAAGGCGCGTGAAGCTATGGTCTCAAAATGCGAACTTGTTCTTTAAGGAACCTCACCAGTTGACTAAATTCACTTAATTGGTCCACTTGAAAAATATTTGGCAGAGAACATTTCACTTCAAAGATGTAATTGCAATATTTTTTGTGCTTACAGACACTGTGGCCTTATTCACTAACGAAGCCCGATTTTTTCCGATTTAGGGTGTTCTTCCGGGCGTCTTCTCTCCAAAACGAAGTCGGTGACCCCCCATTTTTTTACATTTCTGACATAACTAACTCATCACCTTACAGTGGTAAAAGTCTCGGAAAAAAGTCAATGTTGGAAAAGTTTCGCGCGAACGTCGTTAAGTGGCAACCTGTGCCATTTTCTCCTTTGGTTGTTTTTTACTTTACTCAACTGAAAGCACTCTGACTGGGAAGGAATTCAGTTCTAACTTTATTGAAAAGAAGTGCTAACCCCCCTGTCAGTTAATCTCGATCTTTGTGTGTTTCATCTCTTTAAATAGAACTTCAGTCATTCATTACTAGAAAAAAATAATAATAACATTGGAACCAACTATTTACCTTAGTGGCGTAAATTAAAATACAGGAAAGCTATCAATATGTACAGATGTACATTTTATAAGATCTGAAAAGAAATAAGCAATGGCCCACAGAGCCAAAATACAAAATCTCTCCCCCTCTGTCTCAGAAACAACCGCTATGAAACTACATCACTTGGTGAAACTAACAAGATTGCTTTGTTCTGGTCTTGCAGATGTGCGTCATGCCTCCCCCAATTCAAGGAGTATGGGTAGGTCTCCCATCAGCTGTGGAAAGTAGTGAATGTTAGGAACTATACACTGGCTTGGTTATACATGGAGAGGCAATGAGATTGAAATGGCGTGGGACCACAGTCTGGTCATCTCTGGAGCCTGAAAATCAAGAAAAAAAAGGTTAGGGGTGTACTTGATATTGCAGGATAACTTGATCTTTGAATGAAAGTCTTTTCAGTCGCCGTACAAGTGTTTTTCACGGAACATGTGTTTTTTGTCGAGGAAAAGGTTGTTGTTATTCATCGTGGTAGATGCAATAATAAAGTGTATTATCGTTCGT